CAGGAAGGAGGAAGGAATTCTTCTTTGTATCCTTCTGTTTTATTTATTAAGTTTTATATTTTGCACACGATTTATTCAGTTTGTAAATATGACAAGTACTGTTTAAAACCCATTTGATTATTTTATGAAATTAACGTTTTTCATCACCTTTACTGTAAGATATTTAGTGGAAGTGCTTTAGTCCTTAACCACATTAAATTCTCCAGCCATGACGTCACGAGTCAAGAGTAAGTATACATTTAAACAATAACTTTAGTTTCCAAGGTAACTTTCATTTGTATTACAGAGTTAAAATGAATAACTAGTTTCCAAGGTAACTTTTTATTTGTATTACAGAGTTAAAATGAATAACTTTAGTTTCCAAGGTAACTTTTCATTTGTATTACAGAGTTAAAATGAATAACTTTAGTTTCTAAGGTAACTTTTCGTTTGTATTACAGAGTTAAATAAATAAAATTAGTTTCTAAGCTAACTTTTCGTTTGTATTATAGAGTTAAGATAAATACTTTAGTTTCTAAACTAACTTTTCGTTTGTATTACACAGTTAATTTTAATCCTCTCAATTCTGTCTAAATCACTCACACACTAGACTCTGGTTCTACCTAATTTCAATCCTCTCAATTCTGTCTAAATCACTCACACACTAGACTTTGGTTCTACCTAATTTCAATCCTCTCAATTCTGTCTAAATCACTCACACACTAGACTCTGGTTCTACCAAATTTCAATCCTCTCAATTCTGTCTAAATCACTCACACACTAGACTCTGGTTCTACCTAATTTCAATCCTCTCAATTCTGTCTAAATCACTCACACACTAGACTGGTTCTACCTAATTTCAATCCTCTCAATTCTGTCTAAATCACTCACACACTAGACTCTGGTTCTACCTAATTTCAATCCTCTCAATTCTGTCTAAATCACTCACACACTAGACTTTGGTTCTACCTAATTTAAATCCTCTCAATGCTGTCTAAATCACTCACACACTAGACTCTGGTTCTACCTAATTTTAATCCTCTCAATCTGTTCGCCTCTTTCTCTATATACTAGTTGTGAACAAGCCCCCAGCTGTCAAGTGTTTTTTGTTTAATGTAACTAAACATAGAGTGACTTTCAATTAGCCTCTTTGTTTCTCCAGCACCTAATTTTACAGATCAACTTGTCCTCCCTCTGTGTCACCTACAGACCACGTGACCTTTGAATTTTATCAAGAATAGAATGACATCGTGACCTGTATACATTAAACTGAATTTTATTAAGCATAAAACAGAGCAAACTGCCCATGCGCTGAACACAAATAGATAAATTAAGGAAACATTTATTGTTCTATCAGCTGCGGAAGGATACAAATGACCGATTTTATTTTTCTATACAACCTTTAAAATCTAGCTTGACGGACAAAAAAACAAGTTCTTGTTTTTGTAACCTTCCACATTGTGTTACTAAAATTTAAAGGTATAATAACCGGAACTTCCTTTAATAATAACTGGAACTTCCTTTTATAATAACTGGAACTTCCTTTTATAATAACTGGAACGTCATTTTATAATAACTGGAACGTCATTTTATAATAACAGGAACTTCCTTTTATAATAACTGGAACTTCCTTTTATAATAACTGGAACTTCCTTTTATAATAACTGGAACTTCCTTTTATAATAACAGGAGCTTCCTTTTATAATAACAGAAACTTCCTTATATAATAACTGGAACTTCCTTTTATAATAACAGAAACTTCCTTTTATAATAACAGAAACTTCCTTATATAATAACTGGAACTTCCTTTTATAATAACCGAAACTTCCTTTTATAATAACTGGAACTTCCTTTTATAATAACTGGAACTTCGTTATATAATAACTGGAACTTCCCTTTCCAGACTGGCTCAGATTGAGAAGAATGCAAGTCCTAACCAAGTGATTGGTCAACTCCGAGACCGACTCCAAGGGCTCCAGAAACGTCGAGAGACTTCTCCTGTGTCCAAGTGTGAACTATGTCAGGTAAAGTGTAGTGTTTTAGACAGTCCTTTAAAATTGCACGTGCATGCTCA